CCCCCCCCCCCCAATTTCTGCTTTAGTACTGTAGATACACATACACAGGCTATTTGTCCAAGTAAAGTTATCAGAAGTAAACCAAGTGCCTAAGTCCTCCAGCTAACGTACTAGGTATTGATTTCCCCAAGTTATACGTGAAACAATTTTCAACCATTTTGAGAGGTTATGCACTAATGTAACAGCAATTTTTGTTTTGTTTTCTTTTTTTTTTTTTTTTGTTAATAGTTCTCAACTTGGAGATTCTAGAATCCAGATGACTTGGCAAAAAGTATCAGGTGCTCTTGGCTTTCCTTTGAAAACCCTGTATGTAGTGTTTGCACTGACTAACAAGATGGTATTGCTGGTTTTTGTACTGTTTTGTTCTTAATTTAAACTAAATATTGGGAATTTAAGGCGGTTGTATTACCTTTGTTAAATGTTGTTAATCATAATTTTGTATTCAGGTTTAATTTTTGCTTGTTCAGTGGCAACTTATTTTTAAAGACTTTGAAAATACAATAATATAGCATTATCTGACCTTCAGAGTACTGAAAAGTGTGTGAATTTATGCCCTGTTAAGATGTGACTGAGAATCATGTTAGACATGTCAACTGAAAATTGGTTTTCATAAGTACACACGAACTAAAGCCCTGGGCATATTTTTTTTTGAGAAGTGTAAAAATCCACTTTTTTTTAAAAAAAAAAAAAAAGAAGAATGCAGGATTCTCCCTCCTGATGATTACTATCTTCTTGTTTGTCCTCTTACTTTTCTTTGTGACAAGTTTTACATTTTTTTATGTTTTTATTAACTTCTGTGAAGTTGTTTACTCTGAAAATTGTACTGGAATATTTTAAGCCAAGCTGATCTTTCACCAGGTGTACTGCATGTAAGGGCTTTTCCTGCTAGCAAAATGCTTAAAGAGGATCATGTTACTGGTCGTCTGAGTTGTTATTTTACAAAATCACAGCTATGTGGTCGGGTAAGATTTTGATAACTGTTTTGTGCACGCTTCTGGGGGGTGGGGGTTGGCATTTCCCTGAGGGTTACTGATTAGACTAAGTAAATATTGGTGTTTGATATCTCTCCTAATGAACCTGTCCATTAAATAATTATGTTGTAAATATACCTGAAAATCCAAGGGTTAGTTTTGATATTCTGGTGTCAGTATGGAAGATCTTACACATCTATTTAATACTCAAATGTAAAGGAATGTATGTAGAAAAACAGTCAAGTAGTCTTTTCTTAGTTTCCTTTGGCTGTTGCTGTACCTTCCTATAGCCAGTGCCACCTCATAGCTAGGATTAGACTGATGCTTTGTTTTCACTTGCAACTTGAAGTGAATGGATACAAGAACCAGACCACCTTTGTCACCTTAACTTATTTCCTATTGATGTTAACTTTAACTTAGAATGTTAGTCATAAATATGATTGTTGTATATTTTATACCAAGACCATTCTGTAAATACGAATTTATATTACTTTTGAAATGCTTCTGAGATACTATTATTTGCTGTACAATGTAATTCCAAAACAGATATGCAAACAAGTATGTCTCTTTCATGGATATTTAAACAGTGAGATCTTCCATGTTGAAGGTGATGTAATTTTTTTAAAAGATTTTTAAATTTTAAATTGCTATTTTGTTACAAAAATAGAGAAAATATAAAGGTTTGAGAAGTCCTTATTTGCCCTCAGGGAAAGAGCCCTCTGTGCACCAGAACTCCACAGAACATCTTCAGCATGATCTGAGGGTGAATATATACTACATAAATTGATTGTGTATTTACCTTAACTTTTTAATTTTAAAATTGCAATTTTAAAAACTTGGTTGTGCTCTGCTGGAGGGGGATTGGGATAAGCTGCTTACACACATTTGCCTGTTTGTCCAGTGAAATTACATAAGCCTGACATAACTCCTGCCAACCGTATTGGCGTATTTAAGAACAAATGTATCTATGTACTCTTGTCTGCAGCAGGAGGTCCCATGATATAGCAGTTCTCTAGGATGACCATACACTTCATATGGAAAGTTGGTTCTTAATTGAGGTTAGGATTTTTTTAGTTGAAATTTTAATAGATAGAATGACAGGCAAAAGAATTACTTGGGGGGTTTAACAGCATTGCCAGCTTTGTCTTACGGTTTTAACATGGACTGTGTGGTTTTTGCCATGGAACTATGCCCTCCAGTGCCCTGACAAGGAGAAGCTACAGGTGGGAACCTAGCTCTGGCTTTCTTCTTTGGTGAAGTTTCAGCCCTCATCCCTATACAAACAAGTATGTATTCAGTTGTCTAGATGTAAATCAGGTGCCTTTGGGCTATGGAAGGGCTTATTTTCTGACACCAAGATGTAGTGACTTACCTTTGTGTGTTAATAGCAGTGATTCCCATTTAGGTTTTGGCCTAACTTACCTGTGCTGTCAGAAAAAAAAAGGCCCATAGCAGATTGGGGAAAGAGATTGGCTCTTTTGCTTTGCTTGGACAAGCATTTTGGGTTGTTTTGGTTTGTTGTTTTCTTTTCCCCACTTAGGGGGTACAGCAGGGATTTCACATGCAAGAGAGACAGGAATTATTAGTATCTAAGTTAATTGTGTTGCCTCACTACCTGGATTCATTCCTTGGTTTGCCTCATTTCCCACATAGGTCTTAATAGAGACTAATGCTTGTGCTGGGAGAATGCTTGTGTGAGAAAGTAATTATCTGTACATTCTTAACATATACTTATAGCAGAGTGATTGCCCTGCTACTGATATTTTGTTCCTGTAAACAGGTGACAAGAAATGAATCTTAGTGTTTATGCAGATTTTGCATTGTAGAATGTATACTAGACCCTTCAAAGGAAAGGTTAGACTCTTTGCAAAGCAAACTGGCGTTGGTTCTTGGTAGTCTAGTACAGGGACACTAAAGTTTGACATTTGATTTAGGAAAAAAAAAAAAAGTTGTACGCAGCTGATTACGTTAAATAAGCTCTTAATTGCTCTTTGTAGAAGTCTGATTTGGAAGGTTTTAGTGCTTTAACACAATTGAAGTTTTAATTTATCCTGTACTCAAGAGCTGAATGCTGTTCTTGTATAATAGTGTACTAGGCTGGATGAGGTACAAAATAATGCACAGTGGTCAGAAACAGCTGAGGAAAGAATGCTTAAAATAACTTGATCTAAACTCAGAATAGTTCCAAACATTGTTTTTGTTGGCTTTTTTTAAAGCACAAGTTGTCAAGTTGTACCTGTTGCTGTACATAAACACTGTATGCCAGCAGCTCCTTGATCATATTTGTGAACAGACTTTTCATTATTATTAGACTGTTATTAAAGGAAGATGTTGAATTTGAGAGTGTAACAAAATGAAAAATGATCGGGTTATCTATAGTATGTAAAAGTCCATTCTTTATGTTGTGGTTTAATCCCTTTGTTAGGAAATTCCCTCTCGTTGAGGGACCTCTTCTGCAAGCAGAACACAATAAATGTGCTTTTTTAAATGACCCAATTTTCCAGTATAAATGAACAGCTGACTTTGGCAGTAGTCATCACTGTGCATCTCTTTGCTGGCAAGGGAGCACGAGAAGGAACAAAAAAAAAAAAAAAAAAAAAAAAAAAAAAAATCCCAAACTGTCAGTGGTGAGATGAAACAAATCTGAATAATCAAAATGACCAATACCCCAACATAATACTACACCCCGTTATTTAAGAAGGATGCTTGTGGAAGCTTTCAATCACTCAAGATTTTGCTGTAAAAGCTGAAATAAAACAGAGCCTGGCTGCATTTATTACTGCCAAAAGCCAAGGTCATTTGCACATAGCCCATCAATTTATCCAGAGTAGATCTCAGTTAATCCAAGGCATGGAAATGCATGCATTTTCTTAGCTGGGCAAACAAGTACATTATACGGTAGTTGTGATACAACACACGTGGCTTTTATTTGTACTGCACATACCCACTGTACAGCCACTCAGAAGTATTGTGGTTAGCTTGCAGCATCTGCTGTCCGCATTTATACTGTTTACTGCGTATTCTTTTCCCTGGAAGTTTTAAAGAAAATTTTTTTTTTCTTGTTGCATTGATTACATTTTATAAATTTGCTTAGCTGGAAAGTTTGGGAAAAGAGGCCTGTTTGTCAATTGTACAACCGATTGTGAAGCTCTAGTGTGAATATTTTTACGTCTGTATTAGACATTTTCTTTGCAAATCTATTGTTCGATTGAAATGTAAATGAAATAAAAGATGGTGTACACCCATCATGTATAAAGCAGGCACCATCGCTACGATGGATTTAATGCTCATTTTTATGGCGCATTCTCAGCTTCTATTTAAAACTATAATTTAAAAAAAAAATCTGTAAAATGAAATGGGGATATATGGGGGAGTAAATTCTATTCCGTTTATTTCGGTTTTGAGTTCCCAATGGTAATGTTTCCCTTCGTGTTAGAAGTAGGGGGGCCCCGGTGGCGGGGCGGTGCCGTGTGTGTTTGCCGTAGCACTGAAGTGAAGAGGTTGTAGCTTTGGCTGGTCACGGAGTTAGAGCATCCTGGTTTTCAGTGTTTGAGAGACTTGATGGAAGAAGTTTGCAGTATTGACATGTATTTGCATGCACGAATAAAAATTATTTGTCCACCTTAATTGCCTCTCTGCCTTCAGCCAGGGGCCGGGAGGTGTGGGGCTGGGGCCGGCTGGCTGGGGGGTTGGTGGTTTGTGGGGCGGGCTGGCTGGCTGTGGAGCTGGCTGGGGGGTTAGTGGTTGGTCTGGCTGGCTGGGGGGTGTCTGTGGGACTGTCTGTGGGGCGCTCTGGGGAACTGTCTATCTGACTTGGGGGGACTGTAGGGCTCTCTGTGGGACTGGCTCTCTGTCTGGGGGGCTCTCTGTCTGGGGGGCTCTCTGTGGGACTGTCAGGCTGTCTGTGGGACTGTCTGTCTGTCTGGGGGGCTCTCTAGGACTGTCAGGCTGTCTGTGGGTCTGTCTGCGGGACTCTGTCTGGGGGCTCTCTGTGGGGCTCTCTGGGGGCTCTCTGTGGGGCTGTCTGTCTGGGGGCTCTCTGTGGGGCTGGCTGTCTGGGGGCTCTCTGTGGGGCTG